TTTTTGTTAAATGAAGTGTCTCGTAAAAGACATGAAATGTTTATTTTTGAAACATAGGAAGATAAGTAGCGAAATTGAACCAAAAGTTGAACGAGCATGAAATGTCAGTAAAATTAACCCAGTTGTTCTTGTTAGAGGTATCTAGTTTACCGAAAGGATCCTAGCCCCTTCTGCATTTGCATCCACCACAACACTTCTAAAAAAAGAAGAATTGTGAAGCAAAAAACGTGGTTAATGCACCGTGGCTGTAAGTTATGAGGTCCTCATGTGCTGGACCTGTGTGTGACGTATTCCTACACTATGCACTAACCTAAGAAGTTGCTATTTAAAAAAATGAGCAGGTATTTTCCGGATGTATTTGCCAGATATTACAAAAAATTATGAAAACATGAATATTAATGAACTTACTTAAATGTTTTTCAGGTGTTCTCAAATAACGACGTTGTGACCTCAGCCGACATTACTACAGAATCTCATCGTATGGAGAATCTCATTCCTGGAAGTGAATATCGAGCTCGAGTTACCGCCATAAACGGTAGAGGCAGCAGTCCACCTTCGTTTAATGTCACATTCACCACACTTCCGGCTAAGAGTACGTAATCCTCTCCAAAAAAGAACAACGAACGAACCGCTGATGAATTTTTGTATCTTTTAGTAACTGACGGTGATCGACCTAAGGCCCCCGATGGACTCAGAGTAGTATGGAATTACGGTAATCGGGTGAATATCACTTGGAACGCTGTGGAGTCTAGCATGGATGGTGGTACAATTCGGGGAGTTGTACAGTACACACTGTACTATGTGGAAGCGGAGAAGACTGGACAGTGGACTACGGTAGGGTACCCTATGGTTGATTGGTCGATAGGGGAATGGATGGTGCTTGATCAATTGATATAAACTAAACTCTTATTCATGCAAATTTTATGTATTTTAGCTTCAAACCAACAATACCTGGGTGATAATGAACGACCTACAAAGAGATGCTCTATACTCACTATATGTGATTGCAACTATAAATGGAAAGACGAGCAGAAGTTCATCCGTAGTTACGGTATTAGCCCAACCAGGTAAGCTTTATTTCATTTATCAAATCTAGAAAAGGTACGGTATTTGATCCTTTTTCAGACCTACTTGGCCTGCCCGAACCTGTCATCACCATAACCCCGGATCACCTTGACGGTGTGTATCTCCAAAACGACAAGATTTCCATCAATTGCTCAGTGCCAGCAGATGTGCTCAAGGGACACTTGAATCTTGATCTAACAGCTGGAAGCCATACAGTGCGTATCTGAACTTGGAAATAGTAATTTTTTTCAAATGTATGGGTGATTATCTAGGCTAGCAATGATCACGGCGTACCTTGGGTAGCCGAGGAGGTTGAGACAGATTCTTCCATTGACACAGTCACTTGTGCTGTTACCGATACTGATGGTCGCCAAAATGTTGC